ATCCAGCAAGGTTAACGTTTTTAGTGAGGGTACCTGTAGTTTATTATGATGTTGAAGTGAAAACTACAAATGTTCGATCTGATCTGAATAGATCTTGGTTAGGACCATAATAAACCAGAGCTAGCGCACTTCATAGAGAAAACATGCCGGAAATTGTCGACTTTGGGTGGCACATTTTATCTCGAAGTCGCAATAAAAATTCATTTTGGACAGCGTATATAAATCCAGAGCCTACAAATCCAGATTTGTTGTTGTTGTCAGTGTTATAAGAGGTATCCCGAACCAAATTTTACCCCAAAATCCCTATAGTCTCTTTTAAATACAGATAAGTTGGCCCTCTTGGATCCGTCTAATACCATTTGCATAAGAATTGTCTACAGTTATATGTTCACGGAATAAAATAACACAATCACGTGAAAACTTTTTCAGTTGCTAAAATTGAGAGTTGATGGAAATCTTTTTTTTTTCTTTTTAGGGAGATGATAATGCGTATAATATATATATATATATATTCGCGGAGAAAAAAGTGTATTGGATTTAATGGTATATGATTTTATATTCTGCAATGAATTTACACCGACTTCGAGATAGAAAAGGACAACCCCAAGTCCGCTGGATCGGCAATTATGTTTTTCTATGGAGTTCGCTTATATATCCCATGCCCCAAGCAAGTCCCTTAAAAAAAGGTAGTCAGACGTCAAAGCAATCTCGGACTAACATTCGCTATGCTGATTGTTGTTATAGCATTGGATAAAATATGTTTATTTACTTTTTTCATAGGGTTGATACAGGTGTAACAATAAGGTTTGTATATTTGATTGAAGAAACCGGATCAGGACCAAAATAGTGCCCGTAATCGCTCCCATTTTTAATATTATATGACTTTATTTAGTAAACAGTATTTTGACAGGTAGAAATGAAATTGTAAGCAAACTGTTTCATTTACCTTGAGCTCTACAGAGAGAGCATGTGATCTGTTGGTTGCTTGCTGTAATTTGTCGTTAAGTAAATTACATATGAAGCGTAAATTCTTTGCTTAATCTGTACCTCCTTCTAACTTCCTCGTCGCGCATTTGATCTAAATGGTCAACCCGTTCTCTATATAAAACGCGGTCATATCTTTGGCGTCCAAGTTGGGCAAACAAAATATTGGCTGCCATCTTTGATTGCTAATGAACGCTTAATGATGCCCCCATGGGCATCATCAAATAAATTGATTTTTAATTACAGTTTAATGAACTTTTTCTTCATTAAACTATTTGTACAACAGATTTAATGACACATTAGTTAATGACGCGCTAATGACACTTTAATGAGCCGTTAAATTTAATGAAACGTTCGTACAACCGACTGCTGGAGGTATGGAGTCAGGCAACCCACAACCAACGCTTTCCCTTACAATAAAGAAAATAATTTTTTTTAGCAGGAAAGACAAACATGTGTTTCGCCTCGCTCCGCTCGGCTCAATTGTTCAGAAAAACACCTAAAGTCTCAACATGTTCTTCCAGGAAAGTATTTTTATCTGAAGTTTAGTTTTTAACTTTTTTAATAAAGAATATGAACAATGTGCTGAAATTGAAAGAAAACAAATAAAAGTAATTCAGATGTTTCCTTCCCCCTCCCAAATGAAAGAAAAAGACCAATCCCCAATAACAAACCTTACATTATTTTTAACTTTTGAAATGTGGAAACGATTTCGTTTAGTTATATACATATTGATCATCAATCATATCAAAATAGTAAACTTCAAATATCTATCCTTTAACATTTTCCTTACCCCCCCCCCCCCAAAAAAAAAAAAAACTCATTAAAACCCCTTTTGAAACCTCAATTGTCAAAGCAGAGGCTTGGATATTGAGTGCACCATTTGCTATTGTAGAAAACATTGAATTATTAATGAGAGGAGTTGGATACAGATTCAGGTAATATCTTCTTTAAACTTCATGCAGACGATGCGAATTACTATACTTTTGTCGTTCAACCAGGGTTTTTATGTTAGATTTATACATTACTATGTATAAAACAACAGCTCCCGGTTCGTACGATTCGTCAAGTTACGCTTTCGTAAGTTCGTTCGTCAATATCCTGGTCATCTCTATCAAGACGCAATAATTCTTCAAATACTTTGGATTGGTCCGTTAGAATGTGTTTTCTTTGGTTTACACTTCGATAGACGATACTGCTGAAACTTCTTTCGTCACATATTCATGCGTGATACACATGAATGGGATCCTGTGGTTCTTAGAACATTGAAACAAAATCAGAACAAAACTATTATTTCTGTTCTAATACATAACGAATAAATGTAATGCATTTGAGCTTGAAAAAAATTTAAATCTATATAATAAAATAAAATTCCGGGAAACGTCATGCGATAGAAAACGCTCAAGCTAAAAGTTATTCCAGTACAACTTCAAACTTGGTTAATATCTCATTAACACGTTAATTTTGATCAAGTATCGTTTCATTTTTGATTTTATTGCATTAATTGAAAATTGATGGATTCCAGTCAGTCAATATGGCAGTTCACTCCTTATAGTTACGACATACCAACTATGCATTTATTTAACGGAAAATAGATGCAAATGAATATAGGATGTTTAATAAAAGTTGCAAATGTTGAACAATTGTAAATACTTTTAAAGTGTGTGAGTTTTTGTAATCGCCCCAATTTACACCTCAATAACCTCTAGAAAAAATGCGTGTACGTGCTTAACGTCAACAATTATACATATGATGTGATTTTACTATTACTTTTGTTCTAGGCATCCGTTTGTATAAGAATGTCTGTGATGAGTGATACTAAAATGTAAATATCACTAAAACAAATTACTACGGGACAAAATCACACTCACTACTCCGGAATGTATGGCTTCCATTGCATACATAAGCGTCATAAATTCGTTCCTGATAAGGTTCAATGAATCGCCCAGTTTCAACCTTCGATTTACATATTTTAACCTTGTTTATGTTTTCGATTTTTAAATTTTGAATGAAATCAAGACATTTCGCACGTTCAAATGATTAAATATAAAGCAAATACCCCTTGTAAGCATGATAAAATAGTTTAATTCCACCGAATGGTCATTGTATCCATCTGAACGAAAAGTCTAGAGGTTTTCGGGCGTCGCGTTATTTTTAGACATGGTATTTCCTATCTGCCGTGGTGTTTGCTAGCAAATACCCCGGCACATTGAATTCCCTTATGACAATTACACCGGCAGGGAAAAGACTTCTCAAAATATATAAAATTTGTGAAAAATACCATTTCTCTTCTCCAATCAAAATACAGCATTATTACACATTGTTACATAAGGTGAAATTATAACTATGTAATATTCCATTATATGTATAATACAATAAAATTGAGAATGGAAATGAAGAATGTGACAAAGAGACAACTAACCGACCAAAGAGCAGAAAACAGTTGAAGGCCACCAATGGGTCTTCAACACAGCGAGCAAATCCTGCACCCGGAGACGGTTTCAGCTGGCCCTTAAACAAAAATGTGTACAAGTTCAGTGATATATATTTTTTGCCGTTTTTTACAATTACCTTTTGCATTAGCAATCCGTGCATATTTTATAATTTGTAATGCTACAGTCATAATGAAATTGTTATATTTTGAATGTGCGTCCCTTGAGAGCTCGTGATTGTTAGCACCTGGTCGATACCGCTACTTTTTAAGAATGAGTCCTTGAAGGTATCATCAACTAAGAAGTCAATGCTTCGGAAGTGACATGACTTTTCATATACCTTTCTCAAATTCTCAAAACAAAAGTTCTCACTAGGTTGACCTCAAATGAGGTGGATTTGGTTATTATTTGTAGGTCATAATTGGTCATATAGCTCTTCACATATTTCGGTACTTATACATCATTTGCTGCCAAACTTTTCGAATGCGAGTGCTTGTGATACAGAAAAATGTGTCCTATGACAATATTTATAAAGTGTTCTGTTCATACTTTTTTAATCTTGAATATTGGTACGTTGACTGTCTAGCTTATTTCTCCTTAGAAGACTTTTTTGTACATCATTGCTGGGGAAATGTGGCTGATAGGAGACGCCTTCACTATCTGCATCCGATCTTTATCCTATTGGAGTCTTAACATTTCACTAACGACAGTTGTTTGTTAATTCACATTTTGCATAATATCAATTGATAAATTACGGTTACTCATCAGTATAGTATAAATGCTTGTTCTTTAACAGAATTATATCAATATATATATATTATATAGAAATGCCTATTGACAAAGCAAACACTATGCTACTGAATGTTAAATTCAGACATATTTCTTCTTTCATATAATGTTTAAAGCTTGTATAATTGTAGTAGAAATCAAATTTATCTATATCCTTTAGACCGAGCGAAAGTGAGGCTGAAAATATAGAAAAACATAATGTCGTCGATAGAAATCAGCAAAGTGCATGCATGGAATAAGAGTCTTATGCTGATTCTTATAGGAAAATGCAGATTTTTTTTTGTTTAATTCAAATCAACATGAAATGTACAAAACGCAGCAATTTGATTTGATGAAGTGAAGCTTTACAAAGCAAGGAAAAAAATACTAAGTGAGCAATAAAAATTCAAAACAAACTTCATATTGTAGAAATAAAAAAAACATGATAAAGATAGAAGCAACAGAAACAACAGAAACAACAGAAACAAACCACTCAGGCGAAAACTAAAGATTAAGCAACACGGACCCCGCCAAAAACTGGGGTGAAATGAAGATACAAGTGTTTCACGATTTAAAGTGTTTAAAATATTGTTCTTCATATGAGCAACTGCATAATATATGTTTGTTTTAATCTCCGGCGTCGTTCAAATTACAATTGGTGTTGCAAATTCAATTTTCAGGTCAAGCACATGTATCCAATATGAACATATAGATATAAATTGTTGGAATGTGATCAACACTTTGTTTAGAAAGCGGTGATAGAGCATAATGTATACATATATGTTACTTTTATTATATTTCTTTTTGTTTGTTTAGGTAAACCAATAATTGTTATGACTAATTCTACCACAAGGTCTGACGAGATTAAAAAAATAATCGAGGAACCCAACACATTGATGGTGTCGCCGTTTGAATGTTCTATAGGTATATCTATGCATTTTCCCTCTCAATACTGTTAGACAATTAAACAGAATACAAGATAAAGGATAGAAAATAAATAGATACTGTCTGTTGAACATTACTGGAATATCACATGTAACTCGTTTATGAAAAGAACTAAGTTGTATCATAAAACATACACATTAATCGACATTTATGATTTATTATATAAAAGACAATCACGACAACACCGAGGTATTATCCTTACATACTATACACAGGATGTCTTACATTGGTCAAACATATAACAGATTGGAGATATATCATATTGCACACTTTATGCTGAATTAATCTGTTTATTCAATGACGTTTTCACGGCGTTTATTTAACCATCATCTTTCTTTGTTCAATGATCTGCAAAACAATTGTGATTTTCTATCAGAATTCATCAGGCATGGGTCCTCTTTTATTACGTTAGGAATATAACAAAAGAGAGAGAGAGACGCATTTGACGGCATCATTTTTTTCACAACAGAAGAATCATTCAAAATCAGTACTTTCGGGGGCTTTAAGTTTAGATTAGAATTTGGGTTATTACTTTCAATTGTCTACCTAGTATAGAGGAACAGATACTTATCAATACGAATGATTACCTATTGTCATTATGAATAAAGGACACTCTTTTAGCTCAATTTAGTTCAATGTTTTGTGTAAAATATCTTATTTCCCCTCCTAAATTTAAGCATTTTGAGTGGTGGTTGTACTTCATATTATTTTTTAAGTATGTGGAAGTGAAATAGTCCAAGTAGTTGCTTTTTAACTTGATTTATCAACAATTTTTGTCTTAATAACTCATAACAGGTGTTTAATACAACCAAAACAGCATTGTCTTGATACAGCATGTTTAAAATATATTTTTGAAGATACGAAATAGTTTGAGACAGTTTGAAATAATTCTGATTTTATTCATACATTCTGCTTTGATGCAATCGAAGCCTCTTTTAGTTTTATCGCCGTTGAGAACTAATAAAATATAAATGTGGAAAGCTAAGTGTGTCTAAGTACCTGGATAATGTAGAATACGCGAGGGGGTAATCGACAAAAGATACATGAAAAAGAATAACATGTACCAAATCAATCTAAATTAATTTTGCCTGAGGGAGTTGGAATCTTAGTTTCTGCATAATGTAAAAATTATCAACAGAATATTTAGGAACGGTTTATTAAAAATCATGCTTTGACTGCTGAGCTGATGACACACTGATAGATCAAAAGCAGTGGAATTACAACATAAATAAACATTCAAAAATATTTATTAATTAATATCAATATAAAGTACGCCAATGGGCTTTCCTTGAATAATCATAATCAGGAATAGTCAAACCCAGAAATGAGAAACCCAAATATGTTTAAGTACTCTGATACGTGAGATGTTATTTGACCAAGAGGGACCAAACCAAAAGAAAAAGCAATTCCTTTTAAAGCAAATGTGCCTGACGGAATTGTAACCTTAATGTTTCCTACTACTGAATAATCACGAAATTTATCAAGAAAAAAATTATTAAAGATTTGTTGTTATTGACATATAAACTGCTCGAACACTTTTACAATAATGAACGACATTACTCGACATACGTGTTACTGTAACGCTAATCTAATGCATTCAGTAACCGATTCTTTATGTCTATGATTCAACTAACTAGTAACATGTTTTTGCAATCTTATGTCCTAAGATCCAAAAAGGTTGTCTTATGTGTTAAATAACCGATTGTCTCTTATTTCCTCTTTATGCATTTTAGATATGGATTTGCAGATCAGGAGAAAAATATTTAATCAAATACCAATTCCTGATGCCCTTTACATTCATGTAATTTTCTTCTCTATTTTTTCCCCTTTTATGTTCTTTTGAATTGATAACTATATCCTATTAAATCAGAATTATATAATTCTATTAGTACATTGCTTTTACCAGTTCGTATCAAAAAGCAGACAAATATTTTCGCTTAGAATATTCTAATAGGGTTAAGTTTATACAACATATCTGATGAGCAATGTATATGTAAAATAAAATATTTAACCTGCACGCACTCTTATTAGTCTTACAGTGCATATTGAAAATGTTACAATTATGTTATATTTTGAAAAGTGATCAAATTTTACTCTTATTTAGAGTACAACATACTAGAGGATTTTATTAAAGTTACACGGTGCAACCGATTTGCAGATATAATGGATATTTTGACAAGGATGAATGCACAGTATAATCGTCCAGCAATAACATTCCAGTCGACATTACGGAAGAAATTCTGCTTTTTATAATCCGACACCAACCATCACGTACAGCAACTTATACACATATTTGGTAGCAGTTTAATTGAATGAACGTTATTGAATAAATGTGTATCAACCATTGAGTACTTGGACTACATCATGCATAGATTTTGGTTAAGTACTGTATTGTTCATCTGTGCTTTAACATATGTTTACGAGTACATATATATGTTTTCCGCAACTATTTTTTTATGATAAAAAGTAAAATAACAATAATACCGAACTTCGAGGAAAATTCAAAACGGAAAGTCCCTAATTAAATGGCAAAATCAAAAGCACAAACAAATCAAACGAATGGATAACAACTGTCCTATTCCTTGACATGGTACAGGTAAATGATAAATGAAGTTCACTCATTCATGAAAAGCATTTTACCGTGACTTTGTTAAATAGGCCTATCATGCAATGCATACGATTATTTAGATACGTTAGTGGAATAAAACACGATGATGATCATCCATAAAAACAGCAAACCGAAGACAAATGAAACCGAACGTCATGTTGAGATGGCTATACGGTTCTCGATAATAAGCACGAGTTCACAAAATGTGTCATGATATAAACCATTCAAACCTATGAAAATATTCAAAAGGTTAAGATCTAGTTGTAAATTTGTATTTGAAATAACTCAATAGCATAATTCAACAAAATGGCCATATCAGCTGTAAGTATCAACTAAAAGATCCGTGACACATTTGGAATGTTTTCATCCATGTATTATCAAAAAACTATGGCATTCGTTCTTCATAGACATAACAATTGAAAAATATGGCAAAAGTTTCACTCGGTAATGCATTCTGTCAATTACAGATGCACTCAATAAAATATCAGGCTGTTTCTAATATTATGACGTAATTAAAAATTAAATGAAAGTAAAAAGGGTATTATAAAACTAGATTATTTATAAAGGGAAGCTTGTCTTGAGACTCTTCTCTACATTTACATAGAATCTATAATTTTTTTTTATCAATTTTTTTTCTTCATATTTTTCATTATTGAATGCTTATAAATAAAGATTTGCATTTAGTCGCACTGTTTGTCAGTTTAACGCTTACATTACATACACATACTAAAATTTAGATACAATATAAAATTGAGAATGGAGATGGTGAATATGTCAAAGAGTCAACAACCCGACCAAAGAGCAGATAACAGCCGAAGGCCACCAGTGTCTCTTCCACGCAGCGAGAAAATCCCGAACCCGGAGGTGGGCCTCATCTGGTCCCTAAATAAAAATGTGTACTAGTTCAGTGAAAATGGACGTCATACCAAACTCCAAAACACACAAATGAACCAAAATAAAAAAAGCATACAAAACTAACAAAAGACAGAGGCTCCTGACTTGGGACAGGCGCAAAAATGCGGCTGGGTTAAACATGTTTTGTGAGATCTCAGCCCTCCCCCTATACCTCTAGCCAATGTAGAATAAAGAAACACACATCAATACGCACAGTAAAACTCAGTTCAAAAGAAGTCCGAGTCCGATGTCAGAATAGGTAACAAAATAAACTAGTAAGCAAAATGACAATGATACATAAATAAACAAAGGACTACTAGCAGTTACTGACATGACAGTCCCAGACCTCAATTAAACTGATTGAAAGATTATGTCTTCATCATATGAAAATCTAGCACAATCCCTCCCGTTAGGGGTTTAGTATCATACCATCATAAAATATATGAGAAGAACATAACCCGAATCATGCCAACAACTTGTTTTAGAATAAATGTGTTTATTTCCGTGTCAAAGACCCTATGCGTGAATCAATATTAATACCAAAATATGCCATCCTTAATGACCTGACTACAGTATCGTAACTATATCCCTTCTGAAAAGTCTGTTTAAAGGTTTGGTTAGAATTTTAGGTGAATGCCGACATTTTTGTGCTTTGTAAAGAATTTTACCATAAAAGATTGGATGTGAAACACTTGAACGTACAAGATGTCTGTATGTTGATTTATATTTACTGTCCTTGTACCGATGATAAAATTAAGTAAATGTTTTTACTAGTTTGTGATATCGAAAACCCTGGTGTAATATGTTTTCAGTAATACAGAGATTTCTTTCGTTAAAATCAAATACGTTGTTACATACACGAGCGAATCGAACAAGTTGAGATATATAAACACCATACGATGGTGACAAGGGAACGTCACCATCTAAAAATAGATAAGTAACAATTGGAAATGAAAAATCATCTCTTTTATCATAAATGTTGGTATTAAGCTTCCCGTTAAAGATATAGATATCAAGATCCAGGTAAGGGCAGTGTTTATTGTTAGTGTTAGCTTTATTTAAAGTCAATTCGGCAGGATAAATCTCCTTAGTGTACCTACTGAATTCGTTATTATACCATCCAAATATCTAAAAGTGTTATTAAGTTTTTGAATCAGATGTTGTTTCGATGGGTCTTTGGTGATTTTAGTCATAAATTGTAACTCATAACAATACAGAAACAGGTCCGCAATCAGTAGTGCACAGTTAGTCCCCATTGGAATTCCGATAACTTGACGATATACGGAATCTCGATAGCGAACAAAAATGTTATCGAGTAAAAATTCAAGGGCAGTTATAGTATCAAAGCAGGTCCAATTGACATAGTTCTTATAATAATAACAAACTGCTTATAACTGCTTATAATAGTTGCTGCCCTTATCCACATTTTGCTATATGGGTTACGCTTAACTTTTAATATACGGTGCACAATATATTTAGGCATATGTGACATGAATGTGTGTGTGATTATTATAGAATGTTTTTCCCGTGTCTAATTTCGTCTCGTTTCCAGCATTGCTTTACATTTTCTCGTAAAGTTTGAACAATTAAATAGTATATTGCTTTATTTATCTAATGCAAAAGTTTATGCCTAATTGGCATGTTACATACACTTGCGCTTCTTTAAACGAAGCAAATATGTTACATGTAACTGTGTATTGATATTTGAATAAAATTTCAATTGCACTTCTGTCGAACGAGTTAACATTAAGTCTTATTAAACGCAGTTTGCAATCTCGAAATGATTTTACAACGAACGCTAGTTACGTCCTGTCGAATTTGAGAAACTAAACTAACAAAACTGAAAATTTGAGGAAAAAGTAATGTAATATATGTTTTTCTGTTGTTCTCGATTAAAAACAAGTTTTTGTAATAGATTTTTTATCCTTTTCAAAATTAAGCTGCAAATCAACAGTTCAAAATCAATACCTGTTTCACTGATTGAATGCATTAAACTGTGCAGAAAATTGTTGATGATAAAGATTATTACGGCTGTAGATCACACGGTCGTCTAAATATCTTGCCAGCTTCACGTATCCATTTGTTACCAACTGAAAAAAAGGAAAATATCTGATTGGTTAATACCTTTTATCAAACATCTATGCATATTTAGGACAGAATTTCCATATCACTTATAATTAAAAATGTAGGTGTTAGAGAGCATACAATGTTGATTACATATTATTTATATGTCCAAGGAATATGGCTCTCCAAAAACTATTCGTACAAAGCGAGTTACCATCTTGATAGAAATATTGCTGTTATACATAGAAATAAATATATATTGGAAACGCCCTGCTGGTTGTTGTTTTTTTATTAATGCTATGATACAAGTTTTGCTGATGTCCTGACATCAATCGCTGTGAGTAACATGTTAGTTGTGATGCTCATTTAAAAAAAGTACAAGAGTAAAGTTTTGCACATTACTGTCAAGTAATTACATGTGTATTAGGCGTATCTTTTATTGTTGCATTTGTCTAACAACAGGATCATAAAAGTAAAATGAGAAAAAAAATTTAAAATTTGTCAAAGAGACAACAACCCGACCAACAAGCAAAACAGTCCAAGGCCACTAATGGGTCTTCAACACGGCGAGAAAATTCCAAACCCGGAGACAGACTTCAGCTGGCCCCTAAAAATGGACGTCATAATAATGTGTATCATACAAATGGATACGACCAGTTATTTCTGTAGTCAAACCAGTTGCATTTTTTCATTGTTCAGCACCAGGTTTTGAACAGTTGTTTGATTTTCGTCCGGTGACTTTTATCGTCACGGTTTTTTTCTTATAATGATTTTTTTTTATTGTCTATTTGGTGTAATCTTCCTCTTTTTATAGAACAAATATATAACACTGAATAGAATTAATGACTAATCAACTCACCCCATTTAGATACAATTACAACTAGACAGCCTGCATTAACTGTTCTATTATCAGTTAGTCCACTAGGTAGTAAATTATATCTGAAGGCATCACTTTCCTAAACAGAGATTAATTACGAATTTTTAGAAGTATATAAACTCATCAAAGATAAATTTTGAACGCCAGACGCGCGTTTCGTCTAAAAAAGACTCATCAGTGCGCTTGAATTAAAACAGTTAAAAAGGCCAAAGTACGCACTTGAAAATTAGGATTTCGACAAATTCAAAGTATTCTTATCAGATATTTTTCTCAGAAAAATATTTTACAATATACTCATTTGGACATCTGTCATTTTGAATAAATTAGAGCAATTAATTGACAAACATGTTCTTTCAAGCCGACGTTTATGATTTGAATAATGATTAAGAACACCCTTACAACATTATTTTCATTACATGGGTGGTTTGGTGGTATAGATGCGAGAATAATGGGAAGTTTCGGACCACGTTTGTGCTTTTTTCTACATTACTAGGTCAAACTAATCAAAGTAGACCGAAATTACTTATGGAATGACCCGACAAATATTTGTGTTATTTATGCATTGTTTTTGCTGCAGAGGAGTGGTTTTGAAAGGCGGTGTGTGTTTTCAAATTTCATCTCTATTCAGATACGAACGAATAGTTGATTTAAGTTTGTTGAAAAGATTATCAAATATCCTGAGCAGACATCTTTTATATTTGGTTAAGTATTGATCGATATGCATACCAGTCATCAATGATGGAAGACAATGTTCTATTGAACCGTACAGTAATCACATTGGCATCTGCATATATGTAAATACTTCCATATTTCAGAACAAAAAAAGATCATTTAAATATATATATACATTTGGTCTCTTGTGAAGAGTTGTCTCATTGGCAATCATACCACATCTTCTTTTTTCTTTTTTATATTTTACAGTTGTCTGAAATGTAATATAAAAAAATGAAGTTACTGGAATAATGTATTTTTTATAAAAACACACATTGATCGTTTATTGTTACAGAAGTGAAGGTATCAAAGAGAAAATAACTGGCAAATGTCCAACACAATATTTAATTTGATCAGAAAGCATTTAAGACTTTGGGTAAAAAAAACTGCAAAAGAAACCGGGAGCGACATCCAGTATGCTATGAAAGAATATTCATTCTGATTATGCGTGTAATATGTATCACAGGATTGTATGCGAACAATATATTTTCAGAGGCAGTTTATATCTATAAAAAACATATCGCAGTTAAACCTAAAAAACCTAAGAATTCACTTGTGTTAAAGGAGTATATATTTGACAAAATACAAAACTTGGGTATAAGTCCACTGACATTGCTAAGGTTTGTTGCTGTCGTTTGAACAGAAAAGTAAAAAGTTTAGGAATACAGATATTGAATAAAAATCACATACATTTACCTGAATAACAGGAATCCGAGTATTTATGTTTGGAAATACTGTTGCTCCACCAACTTTGACATCATTTAACTGAAAGGAAATAATTTTAAGAAAGCATTATTTATTTATCAGAAGATAGCTAACTTCGGAACTTTCAGTTACCACGTGCAGTACTTGGTGTCATTTTATTTAGATCGTTATAATTGAACATGTAGATATTGTTTCGTCTGTAATATCGGAATTATTCCGTTCTTGAACAGGATACGCTTACTCTTCAGGAACTCTTTAGATTTATTTTTTTACCCCGCTACTCCGCCCCCTCCAGGGTTGTTGTGGTACATGATTCTCGGTCATCTACTGATTTGTTTGTTTATTTACGTTGTCTTCAGGTTTTTTTTTTTTTTTTGTCATAGCATTGTCAGTTTCTCTTCGATTTCGAGCTTTCAATGTCTCCTTGGCAAA